GAGACCAGACGTGAGATTTGATCGTAGCCACCGCTCACGTCCATATTGATAAATTCCGAATTTTGCTTTGAAACGACCGTATGCCCAATTTTCTGTCGTACGTTCGTTTTGTAAATGAGGCCCAATGTAAGTAAGCGATTCATTTCACAGTGTATACTGTAACGGAGGGAACACAGGAAGCGTGCGGATCCATCTGCAAGGCTTTATTAATTGAGACGTGGTCAAAAACAGGCATAGGTCAGACAATGGCAAACAGGTATATTGATGGCAAGGCAAGAGGGATAATCCAGGTACAAGGCAAAGGTCCAGGCAGGGGCGAACAGTATCCAATTGGGCGAGACTCGAGGGATAATCCAGGTACACAGGCAGTGATCAGAACACGGGGAAACAGACAAGGCAAGACAAAGAAAACAAGACACTAGGCTCGGTAATGCAGCTAACACTAGGTGAGTGGAAAATGCAGAACAATACACGGCGATCTGAACAGAAACTGAGAGAGTGTTAAATAGAGTGTGTAATGGCTCTCAGGTGAGCGTGTGATATGTGACGGCTGTGTGATCAGTGAATTCAGCTGTGTAAGTGCAATGGATGATGGGAACTGTAGTCCGGAGTGACATGTAACAGTCTGTGTAGTGTGAGAGTCAATGTAATGGTAGAATGACCTCTAGTGGCAATCGGCCGGAAGGCCACGGACCGGATTCGTGACAATAGCCTACTTGTTTAATTAGTGAGACTTGTTTAATTAGTGAGACTTAGCCTTTAAAATCTTTATTTGAATGTGGCTATTAACATTTTTATTTTAAAACATTTATTTGAATATGGCAACATAATATTGCGCTCTACAATATTTCTATGAATAAATCTCTGACAGACACTATCAGCCAATCACTGTGTGCATAGTTAGTAAGTATGCTGACATCATCCATAGCAACAAGGTCAACCCCGCCCTTACTCTTAGCTTAAGACTTCTGTCTGTTCCTTAGTAAAAGTTTGTTTCAGCAGCTTTGTGAATAGGTTTTAAGTGAAAACTCTTAGCTAAAAACTTTTACTGCTATTTAGGAGAACTCTTATGGTAAGATAAAATGTTTTGTGAATATGGGCCCAGATGTTCAGTTTTCACTGGTGAACACTTGAATGGGTGGGGACAATCTTGTAGACTTACATCGGAAAACAAACCCAGTTGCCATCTAAAGAGACTTCTTGGCACTTTTAAATTAGTAGCTCTTTTTGCCGCTATAGGCAACTGCTCTCAAAACCCTAGCAACCACCAAGCAACACCCTAGCAACTACCTGGAACACCATAGCAACTATGGAATGCGCGCCATTCTGAACCAACTTGAGAATGCCTTTTAAATTCCATTTCAGTTCCTGGTAGCTTAAGAGGATGCAGAATTGCTATTGGAAATTGAAAGTAAGGAGGCTGAATTCAAATTAATTGTGACCCTGATTTTTTTTTGGGGATTTATACATCATCTGAAAGCTGAATAAATAAGCTTTCCACTGATGTATGGTTTGTTAGGGCAATATTAGGCCGAGATACAACTATTTGAAAATCTGGAATCTGAGGGTGCAAAAAAATCTAAATACTGAGAAAATCGCCTTTAAATTTGTCCAAATGAAGTTCTTAGCAATGCATATTACTAATCAAAAATTAAGTTTTGATATATTTACAGTAGGAAATTTACAAAATATCTTCATTGAACATGATCTTTACTTAATACTTACTAATGATTTTTGGCATAAAAGAAAAATCTATAATTTTGACCCATACAATATATTTTTGGCTATTGCTACAAATATACCCAAGCGACTTAAGACTGGTTTTGTGGTCCAGGGTCACAAATGATCCATGTACATAAGAGCTTATCAAATCATTTACTTTCTTCATTATCAGTTTTCGTGCCCACAGGATTTGGACTATGGACTTCTAACACATTTAAACGTCATTCAGGTCCATGTGAAGGACTCACTAAACTGCAAAAATATCTACAGTACTGTAGAATGAAATCAGGGCTGAACAAAAACATACCTGTTGACCACCTCCCAAACCCTCTGCTGTATATTTTCTGCAAGGAAGTTGCCTTGAGAGCTGAAGTCTTTGGCTGTGTCCACCAGCCCCTGGACCTTCTCCATTTGTGCATCTACCATTTCCTCCAGACCCTGCTGGGCCTTAAGCAGCCTGCTAACTGAGGCCAGGTTACCACCGTAGTCCTTACTCACCACTTCTACCTCCACTGACCCAAGCCACTCCTCAATGTCATCCAAGGAGCGCTGGAACTGCAACGCCTAGAGGAAAACCACATTATCCAAGATGATATTTCAGACCAGCATCAGTAAATCTGAATTAGATTTGTCTGAAAGTCATGAGGATATGTTAGTGTATCTATTATAGTCAGGGAACAATGTGTAAAGCGGCACCTCTACACGATATCATGTAGAATTAAGAAAAAAATATTTTCAGTGTGCACACTTATGCCTTGAGCTAGCGTTTTAGCATGCTGTACCTGATATGCTTGCTGTAGACGTAACTTTTTCTCCTTGCAGTTGCTTAAAAGCTGGTCCCAGCTGTCATCAACATCCTTTATTCGTGGTTTTATCTTGCTTTTAGCAGGATGACTGGAAGCTAGCATGTTATCACCCTCCTGAGGAAACAATTCATGTTTTAGGCTAAGTGCTGTTGATGCTCCTTTAAGTCTGAATTTCATACAAACAGAAAAAGATTAAGAGATATTCAGACATTCTTTAAGATTCCAATGCCGTACTTTTATGATGGTCTGCACTCTGTTGCGGTTGGCCAGTATCTCTGCCTTTAAAGCTCTGGTGCTTTAGTAGCTTAGCCTGAAGGTTAATAGGATCTGTCCAGCTCTCATCAACAGCCAGAGTTTTTCTCATTCAACCATGAGGAAACCTTTACAAATGAGAATTTAACTTTGTAAAAGACATACTGATGGGTAAAATAAATCAGACTACATAGGTGAATGTCAACCCTCTATTTTCCACATTCAGCAGGAGCTGTTTACTTCACACACCTCATAGCTTCCTTCCAGGAATTTCTGCAGCTGTAGAGATTCTTCTAATGCTTTTCGTCTGGTTTTGCTCATTTCCAGTACTTTGTCCTTCCTTTAAGAAAGGAATTTTACTTATCAGTAACAGTACTTCTCAATATTTCTGATCTATAGACCATTTTGAAAAAGAAGTGTGCTTTCGTGTGTTGAATGTGCACTTTTAGTGTACTTCAAATGTTTAGAGTACTTGCAGATGAAATTTTGTAATAATGGATTTTGTAATAATATAATAAATAAAAGGTGCACTTCATAATAATGTAACATAAAAGTTTTTACTTTAAAGTACATTTTAAATCGTTGTTTTAATATTTCTTTTGTCATGCTTTGAAGAACACTTATTTTGATGTTGACTAACATACTAAGTCACATAAAGTACTGAATCAAGATTTTAACTGTACACTGTTATTTAATATTACATTCAAAGTTAATTTATTTTAAATGTAATAGATTGAAATTTCATCACTGTAAATGTGTAATTACAAATATATTTAAATACATGATATACAATAGAAAACACATTAAAGTATATTTTAGTTTAACATAAATGCCTGTTAGTACACTTGGCAGTACACTTTAACCATATTCAAAGATAATAGAATTAATTGTGAAATTACATAAATATATGTATATGCAATATATAATTTCATGGTATGTAATTCATATATGTAATGTTATGATATGTCCCACTTAAATGAGACAAAAACACTTCAGCTAATTTCATTTAATATAAATGATAATAATAAACCTATTTTTAATACATTTTCACATTTAACTGCAATTAGCATGCAATTAAGTGTCTGTAAAAATTACATTAATTTATTTTGCACTTAAGCATATTCTTTGAAAGTATATTAGTTCTGTAATAAGTACTAAGTACTAAAGTGTAATTTGTCAGACGAGTGAGTTTTTTTTTTGCTTACTGCATACCTGAGCAGAATAGCTTTGATCTTCTTCTTGATGTTGTCAGAGTCATAGTGCTGTGCCTGTATGAGATGCTGAGCACATCTGTCAACCTCTGCCACCTGCTCCATCTGAGCTTCTAGAGAGTTCTCAAACAAAGCATGCTTCCTCTGAAGAGCCTCCACCTCTGACAATGAACCCTGTCAGTGTGCAACATCTTTCACCATCCATTTCCAAAGTTACAGAGAAGAAAACAACCAATGTCATTTTGTTTTCTTATGAGGTGAAATGTTACTCTGTCTTTTAAATGAGGTGCAAGAAATGGAGCTCTTACCCCAAGATCTTCATTGACCAAGAAAGCCTCCCGGTTACTTATCCAGCTCTCAGTCTGGTCGGCATAGCCCAGGAATATCTGCAGCCAAACCACATAATACCTTCACATAATAACAGATAATCCAAAATGAACCAAAACTACCTGCTGTTTTCTTAAGTCACCTGAAGCTTCAGTGCTTGATCCAGAGTTTTCTTTCGGTCCTCCCAAGCTTGAGCAAGCTTTGTTTTGGCATCCTTCAGCTTGTGTAGGGCTTCTTTAATCTCTGCTGAATCGCTGTGTCCGGACTTAACAAGATTCTGTCCAAAACTCTTAACTGAATCTATACGCTCACCGCGAGCATCAATCTCAGCCTGCAATCATTAAATGTTGCTCTAACACAAGTCTGGTATCATATAACATTATGTATTAGTATGTACTATGACAAATTAGAAGTCACTTTGGATCAGTGCGTCTGATAAAAGAATATATGTAACTGTATTAGTTTTAGCATTGTAGTTTGTGACAGAGCAAGATCACAGGAACTGAGAAGTTGAATAATTTTATAACGTATATATATATTTTAATACCTTCCAGTTCTGGTGCTCTTGTATGAAACTCTCAGCTTCCGTCTTATTCTTAGGCAGGCCTTTCTTCACCATCTCATCACTTTGCTTCAGGGCCCAGTCCTACCCTAACTCTAACTGCATTTAATATCAATTTAATCTATAAAACATTTTCATTTATTTGCAATTAATATGCAATTAAATGTCTGAAAACGTAACATCCAATTCAAACTTAAGTATATTTTTTAATGTGTATTATTTCCGTAATAAGTATGCCGAGGAATCATGCTGATGAGTTTTATTCTTTCAAGCACCACTCAAATGTTCTTCAGAAAATGTAAAAATGTAGTTTAATGTCACTCTGTTCAAATATGTCACGTTACGAGTCCATCTCGATACGTCTTATTTCCCTCACACCGCTCTGGGATCATTGTGTGGCTTTCTGTGAAGTCTTACACTCAGCCTTGGTTGCACCTCTCATTTCACCCAGTGACCTCAGTGCTGATGGCCTGTCACTTAAAACAGCCAGTGGCCATGGGGAACGGCCTGGAATGAATGACAGCCCGCCACGTGCGCGCGCACAAACACACACACACACACACACACACAGAGAGAGAGCATTTTAACTAGATGTGGCAAGTTTGCGTTCAGGCTTTTTAAGTTCTCCAGACGCGGTCACATGAAAGCCTGTTTCAATCAGGAACAATCTCATGATGCTGCCCTTTCCACAACACCAACACATAAGTGCACACTCACACTTGTCTCCTGTCTATAAAAAAACATGTGTTCTTTGAGTCCATAGCGACACACCTCGTGACACTCTGCCCTGCCCCAGCCGTGACCTGTGGGATTGTATGACAACCACAGAGTACGCTAGTCGAGATTACAGAGGAAGCCGGCCTCTCCTGTTGCAGCAGTGCCTTCTTCGAGGGGCCCTGGGATCGAGGTGACGCACAACTCCACTCGGGGTTCGTCTGCATTGGACTGGCAGTAACGCGGAGCCATTCGAGGCTGCCTGGTTCCACCTTTCCATCGCTGGGTGACTCAGGCATATCAGATGGTGTGTTAATGTCTTTGTGTTTCAGAGTAACGTGTTAAAAGGTTATTTGGCTTTTCTTTGACGGGTGCAACCATCATAGCACAAGCCAATAGCTGTTTCCATCCAAAGTTTCTATCTATTAGATTGAATAACATCGAAATGCAAGTGTAATTCTAAAGGTGGACACAATTCACAGCATTTTTAATATGTAGGGTGAACTTTGTTCCATCAAATGCTTTCAAGCATTAGAATATTATAAGATTATTACAAATACCACCTGCATCTGACTTGTTCCTCACTCATTTAGTTCAACCCTTGTGAAAAACAAGTGTGATTAATTGTATTGAATTTGCACCTCTGGTAAAATTTATGCATTAAAAAAAAAATAAAAATTCCAGAAAAACTGTACTTGTAGATAATATAATATTAATTAAATAAAAGGCCACTTAAGTGAACTCAAAGAGCGATCATTTCATTACTTTTTCTTACACTTAAATACACTTTTAAAAAGTGCTCTTCATTATAATGTTAAATTAAAAGCTTTGCATTTAATTACATTTTATATAACCCTATCATGTTATCTTGCATTCAGAGGTGGATACATGATGTTTGGAAACACAATCATGTGAGAATGTTCTGGGCTGCATTTCTCGATAACTATTGATCTTAGAGCTTAAGAGCGTTTTCTACGAGTCATTTTACGATCATTCGTTGTTGTTTCACGTGCGTTTCCCAAAAATGCACTTAACACAATCGCACGTAGCCGTG